AAAGAGAAGTTTTTGAGAAGGTAAATGAAAATCGGAATTTTTTTTTGCATAAATCCCTTCTACAACAGATTATAAGGAGGAAAGATGATATTTGAAGAATAGTCGGAATGAAAAAAAAAGAAACAAAATTCTCAAATATTAAAAATTATTTGTTGTGTGCAGTACACAGTACACTGTATACTGTATACTGTATCGCATTTATCGTATTCGTATCATTCATTTCACTCATCCTTACAAAAAATGATGGTCCAATATTTTATAATTTTAATAATTTTACTTTAAATTATAATTTATACGGGCAAACATTTCTTCCACAAGACTACGTAGGAAAAATTGCAACAACAATGTGATAGCACTTAAAATAATTAAAATACTGTAGTATACGATAGATGATGAACTCCAACTGGTGAATGTTTGTACCAGTGATAACGGGAAATACATCACTTCGAAAAAACTGATTAATGCCATAAGGAGCTGAAATGAAATTATTGTTTAAATTAGTTAATGATAGTGGAATTTTTCAAGGTAAAAAAAGTTGAAATATCATTAGGATAAATGTATAAGTTATCATTTCTTATTAAACAGCTATACGGATTATTTGAGAATATACACTTAAAGAAGAAAAATGTAATTTAATTTTTAATATGGCAATAAGTGAAAATTAAAACAAATTTTTTTTCCAAGTAAATTATATAGTAAATAGTATACTAAATGTTAAATGTAACATATTAAATGTACTAAACATACTAAATGTTGAAATTTAACAATAAGCCATATGAAATATTGCATCAGTAAGTTACTATACAAGTAAAATGTTAGGTAAATTGTTGTATGCAATAATTACAATAATATAGGATAAGCAATAAAGTAAGTGGTAGTATTATAGGTTATGTCAACATTTGGATTTAACTCAACATTTCTTTTGCTGAATTTAAATTCGAAAATTTTCAAACTTGTGTTGAATAGCCATAATTGCAATCCCAATACAAAATTGCTCAGTATTTACATTAAAGAAATCTCGATAGCTAAAGTTGCATCGTTGGATTTTATGATTAAGTTTATTTCTTTTCAATTTTTAATTTTTATTTACACATAAATTTCGTTCCAAATCCAAGAAATATTCAAGATTAATTTTATGTACAGCATAAACCTAAATTTAAAAAGAAGTAAATATAATTAATTTTTTTAAATTTAAAAATTTTGTAATACTACTTGAAACATCTGGCCACAAATAAGGTGATAAAAACAAAATATAAAGTTGAAACATCTGGTGAAAATTAAATTAGTAATGCTAATAGAAATATTTCTCTCCTGCTTTTTTCCTCAATTTTTTCAAACAGAATAGCATTATTTCTTCGTAACACCTTTTTTTTCATTATTTTCTAACATTTTCCAATTATTTTTTATCAACGTCTTAGCTTAAATTTTATTAAGAATTATCTAATTTGAAGGTCACAAATTTGTTAATTTTTTCATTTTTAAGATAAATCATGAATTTTGAGATTAAAAATTTTAAAAAATAAATGAATCCGTCTAAAATTTTAATAAAATTTCAATTTTTTTTTGTTTTATATTTATCTCACCCTGAAATTGTTCTACCCTATAGCTAATACTTTTTGTCATTGTTTACTTCAATAAAAGAAAAAAAACAAAATTCTAGTGGAGCGTAATTTATTGTCCACATTTCCTTTATTGTGACTCGCAACGGCATTAAATAAGGTTATATCCAGGCTCTTTTTTTAAGCCTAATCTAAAAAAATAAATTGAGCTAGAGAATTTTAAATTACAAGAATATTGAAAACTTTATCGATAATGACTTCTCAAACAAAAGATACGAATGAAGAATGCACTACTAGCAATAAATACATTTTAGAAGGTAGTGTTGAAGAATACAAATTATCGATTGACTTCATAGTTTATCAATAATCGATACAAAAAAAAAAAAAAAGGAAAATAAATGAATAAATAAACCTACTATACTTAACAAATATCCATGAAAGAATGAATCGCACATTGAACCAAATAATCGTTCCCAAATACGAAGTAGTAGAAATACGGTAGCAATACAGCAGCAAAATATTGATAAGTAAATAAGAATAGAATTGATTATCGTATGTGGAAGATATGTGTATATGAATAAACTGAAATAAAATACGATAAAATTGTAAAAATATACTCAGAGGATAAAATATAGAAGTTGTGATTTTTAAAATTTGAAATAAAAACGATTGGAAAGAAATTAATAAGTATATTGACGAGAAAAAAAGAAGAAAAAGCTTCTCGAATTACAAATATCTATTAAAAATTTGGTAATAATTCAGTGTAAATTTATTAAAGTTATTTTGAAGGATTTTACAGCAACAATTTCCAATGGAAAGAATTTAGGTTGGAAATTTTGAAGGATATGTTTTAAATAAATTTTTAGTATTCTTTTGAGGATTTAAAAAAAGTTAGGTTTTTTTGGCTTGCTTGTTAATTTGTCGAAATAGATTCAGAATACCTAAAAAGTTACGTTTTGAAACTTAGTAATTTTTATTGTAATCATTTAAAAATTTTTTCCACTTTTCGTCAGGAATCATCAAATTGATCAAAGAACAATTTCAAGTAATATTTGTTGTGCAAGAAAATCTGAGAATCAAATTTCATCTTTAGCAACAAATGAAATCGAACTGATTTATTCATTTTTTCTGCAAGAACAATGCTTGATGAGAGTTTTTAAATTTTCCTTTTTTTTTTTAACCAAATGAACGTTCCAAAATCTGGCACGTAATAAATTGAATTTATTTATAATTCATTCAGTAAATGTCAGCTTTTAATTGAATAAGCTAATTTAAATTGATTTCATTATAAGTAAAGGCTGATCGGTTATTATTTGTTTATTCCGATTGGAATATTAAGATTGGTATTTTCTGGATAGGTTTTTCGTTTTATTCAACCAACCTGGATGATAATGCTGAACTAACCTGGATGATAATGTTAGAATAATTTGCGCAAAGGTGCAAAGAGTGGTTGCGGAATGTGATGTTAAACCACAAACTGCAAAAATACCTTTGCTGTCGCCACTTTCACTTGTATATGGTAACGAACACTCCTCCATATCTGAAAATATACCAAAAGAAAAGAAAAAAATGCAAAACTTAGCCGAAATAATAACTGATTTAATTTCAAATTCGAATTTTATAAGATTAAAATTTCCAATAATAAACAGTAACTATTGGCTACTTCATTCAAACCATTGTTACATCGTTCATAATTAAGTCCCTTTTTGGCATTCTTTATTATCATCAATGATTAAGAATGCTAAAAAAAATGTTATCAAGAAATATTGATGTATATATGGTAAATTAATCTGCGTATTACAGTATGTGATAAATGAACATAATTTGTGAACTACGATTCATGTTGTTTATTCCATTTTATCATTGTGATCTTCCCTTATTTAATCCTATTCTATTACTACTACAGTAATAACCAAATATATCAGTGTGAGATAAACGAAATAGAAAAAAAAAAAAAAAACAAGGAGAATTTCAATAAAATTTAGACGATTAATTTATATGAAAATTCGCGACAAATTTCAGGAAGAAGCAGAAATTAAAAAGAAAAGAGTGAAAAACGTAAAACTGAAAATTGATAGGAACTTCACACGCTTATATATATCCGTACACACACACACACACACACACACATATATATATATATATATATATAACAAATACACATACACATACACACATACACATGCATACACACACACGGACATACAGACACATACATATGTATGTAATGTGATGTTAAAATGAATCACAAAATCATTGTCTACTTCGATATGAAAAATTAATATAGCTAATTACTTTGTTCAACTCTATGAACGAAAAAAAGCTTCCTAAGGGACTTCATAATTTAAGGAAAAAATAAATGAATAGAAGATGAAGACCTTTTGAAAGATATTTGTGAAAGGAACGAGAAGAATTATAATATAGTTCATTTTAACCTGACAAATAATGCCAATGATACTAAGTTAAAGTGTAATAGTAACAGTAGTAATAATTATTAATACAATAAAAGCAAAAATAAAAGTGAGAGGACTTGTAATAATGATGATAAGAATGACAATAATAATAATAACTAATAATAATAATAATAATAATAATAATAATAATAATAATAATAATAACAATAATAATAATAATAATAATAATAATAATAATAATAATAATAATAATAATAATAATAATAATAATAATAATAATAATAATAATAA